TGTGTTGTTCCTCCTGAAGAAACTAATATATTATTTTAAGATTATAACACTTCATGCAACACTAACTCATTACAGTTACCATCCAGTAAATTACTCTTTGGCTGTGGACTATGTTAAATGCTTCAGAGATTTAAGAATTCTCAGAGAATAATTATTTAAAAAGCTAAGTCTAATACGGAAAGTTCCCTTCCAACTTGCATCAACTTATATCAATACCTTTTCTCCTTAAAATTCACGTACAAAGCATTTGGAACTCTTGACAGTGACTCAACTACTGTGCTGTGACCACAGCTACACATGGGAAGGAACACATGTAATACTCTCCCTAAACATTGCCTGCCCTCAGAAAATAAGGGTCATCAGGGAAGAACAGCTTTACTATATACATCTGGTACTCTATACAAGGGCTCCAACACAGTTCCAATAAACACATTCTTCTCCCTCCACCAACTACCACAGAACAAAATTTAAATTACAGCATTTGTTTGGTAATTCCCCAAGTTCATGAACTAAGAAAGAATTGCTTCACATTAATAATACTAACGCCTAGGAGCTCTGTGCTATCCAGATAAGGCTTAACAGCACAGGGAATCTTGTATAAAATTTCTATACACAAAAAGATGCATTGATTTCTGTCCTTAAAGCAGACAACTGCCTCCATAGATGAATTTCAGGAGCTGCATCCACAAGACTGACTAATCATAGCCAGCTTACCTCCATCATCCAGGGGCCGTTTCTGCACTCCATAACCATAGACTGATGGGTCCACAAGTGTTGTAGAATTATTCAAGTGAGGAATATCTCCAATTTTAGCAGCAATCTACAAAAACAGGGGATAAAAGCATGATTAGGATACCAGAAGTTTCAGCCACCACAGCTAGACACTTTCCTCCGGTAAGGTATTTACCCCAGACCAATCTTCTCTCAGCTACTTACTATATAGGTAGCTTTATATCAATTCCAAGACAGGAGTGCTTCATTTGTAAAGTAAACAATTTTCTGCTTGCTTTTAATATTTGCTTAGTTAAGATTGCATTTACCCAGTTCCTCTTCCTGATTGTAAGAAGGTATTTACTCCCTGGAACATTATATTCAGGTTTGTTCACTCTATGGACAGCTGACAAGGTAAATCTTGCAAAAAGAGCTCAAACTAGCTAACCAACTTTGTCCTGGAGGACCTGCCACCACCATAGCCATGTAGGAGGACACGTGCTTCCTCCTACATCCGTGCATATCCAGATAGATAGAAATGCACACTCACACATTAGCGGGGGGAGCGGAGGGAGAAGAATGTGAAAATACACAGCATAAGGACAGGTTTGGGAATTCCTTGTCAAAGTAAACACCCCGTGTTTACTGTATGAAGAATAAGGCAGTGGGCAAACTATTAGCCCAGAACTAATTTCAGTTTCCAGCAGCAGTCAATACAGCAGGAACACCACTAACACTGCCTGTGTCTCTGCTTCCCCCCCTTACAGAGGGGTAACAGCCATTCCCTGCCAAGCCAGGGTGCAAGGAGGATATTTACAGGAAAGAGAAGACAGTCAGGTATCACAGGTAAGCAACTAAAGCAGGTGAGAAAGACACCTAACCACCACTTAATAAAAGTGAGAAGTTAAGCTCATCTCTAATGACGTTTGGGAGACACCTATACAGATGGATGCTGACAGAAGCGAGCTCTTTCATCTGCTCTCCAAGCTAACTGATGTAAACCTCCTCTAGAAACAGAGGTGCATTACTTCAGTGCTGCACCTGAGTTAATCCCGACTTCAGGGACATGCAAGCTGCAGTCTCACAGCACCCCTTGCCTACATAAAGTACTTGGCTATAATAAGCAAGTGCAGAACAAAGTAGTTACAGAACAAATATAAAGGATGGGGTATTCTACAGTGCTTGCTTCCCTTTCCAGCAAAAAGAAAATCATTGAATAGGATCTTTACTAGGAGTCTGATCTCACTCTATTGTAACTGGGATTTCACCAGAAAATAAGCAACAGGAACAGATGAAAGAGCATTTTACACAGATATGTTTTAAATGAAGGCAAGGGCAAATGACAAAGATAACTAAAGGTGTTTCTAAAATTTTAGTTTTACTGCAACAGAAAGACATCTACAGTAACTCTGGTTGTTGACAGTATTAGCTGCTGCAGTGGAATAAACTGCCCGAGATTCAGAACCACAGGGTACGGAAAAAAAAAAAAGCCATTTGAAATAATCTTGAAAGATTGAGGGCACTGCTTTTAGAAAGAGAATAGAAAACATTCTCTTCAATGCCTTGTATGAAAAGAGGTCCAAGTTTTGACCATTTTCTTCTCATAGTCCATTCCTTCCTGTCCTCTTTTAGAAAGTCAACAACTTTGCTGTGTCAGAAATGCCAGGAGCTAGAAACTAAAGTTTTCCTGCAGGACTAGCACAGTGATCACATAACGAAGCTTTGATTACAAGCACCTTGTATATCAACATCTTCAAAAACTAGTAAGCCCACAGAAATCTGATTCTGAAAGCATTAACACAGACTATCCCTTCTCCACTCTGTAGTAGGGAGTGCCAGGTGATGCCTTGCTTTTTTGTTGAAAACTGTACTGCATCCACAGTTCCAGCCCTGTGCATACGTGCTTTCCCCTTACCTTTGGGACGCAGAGGACTTCAACGAAGGTACAAAGAGCATAGATGTTGTCTGACTACTTCAATGGTGAAAAATACATTAAAAATATATTTTGTAACAATCTATTAACAGTTTTCACATAATAACTTACAAAGGTATGCCAAAAGAAACAGTGTCAGGTATAACTTATCCTGGCATGCTTTGGAACATTCAATTTTAACATGCCCCTTATGAACTCTCTTTCTGTCAGTAGTTATTTACTCGAAAAAATTTTAAGTTGTGGAAACTGCTAGCTGATAGCTTGGAGCTGAAATCACACACCACACGCTCAAGGGAAAGAAAAAATAGCCTGGATAGCAGAAGCTGACCTGCGAAAGGAAGCTAGCATGAAGCACAAAGGTGTGCATGAACAGATCACCGTCCGCTCCCAAAGCGGGAAAGCTTTGCAAACCCCTACTCAAGGCTGGCACACCGTTATCACCCTGGCACAGAACCCTCCAACTAAAAGGGCAAAATAAGAGAGTCAAAGCGATTTTTACATTATCAGCTTTTGGGATATTTTCCTCTTTTTTTTTTTTTTTCCCCCTTCTCCTTTATTTAAACTTGCACCCTTATCTCTAAAGCCTGCAGCCGCCACCGGATTACACGTAGACAACACACCAACTCACAACAGCAGGAAAAAAGACCCTGCAAAGTTCAGAGTTGAGCTTTTAAAGTAGATGTAGCAGGTAAAATACATTTTAACTTCTTCTGTTCAACTTAAAACGGGAACCTCAATTTTTACTACATTTTTAGGGAGATAAGCACAAAAGTTAGAACATAGCAAAAGTAAGCAGACCTAGCCCTTATCTGACTAAATGACCTTGAGTAACGTACTGCTAGCCACTGCTTTTGTCCCGCTGTATGTCAGTCCTCTTTTTTTTTTTTTCCCCTAAACCCAACACATCCATTTTACTAAGCTCTGAAATACAACGGAAAAAGCATCACTATCACAGAACTGCTTCTGCACCCAATTTCCCCAAAACAAAGCTCTCCAATAAAGACTTTAAAGGACATCGCACAAACCTGAGCTACAAATTGCAATGGTAAAGCCAAGAAAAACAAACAAATTAGCCCACAAAGTTGTGCGAGGGATACATGTTTTCCTACACCTTGCACTTCTGTCCTCCTATACCTTTAACACTGTTTAACAATGGTGCAATACCAAAATGCTTCTAAATATGAAGTTTCTTTGCTAGGCACAGCAGGACTCAAGTGCCAATGTCTGCAGAATTCAGCTTTCAAGAGAAAGAGCCTAGCTTCTGGGAAGAATCTCACCATGCTGCCCTGCAAAAAAATAGCCACCAATAAAACTGCCAATTCTAGGTATTAGCAAGACATAAAACAATAAAGCACTGTCATCTGACCCTTCAGACAATTCTAGTGCTTCTGCTACTCTTCCTAGTCATCGAGCTGAATATTAGAGTTTGCGTGACCGCCACTTCTCCAGAGCTCTGCAGGAAGCAGTGAAACCATCTACAACCATTTAAGTTTCATGTCACAGGTGGTTTTCCTAAATACTAGAGTAACTGCAAAGCCCTAAATCTATTTGATTATGATCTGAAAAAGTACTCTGCAGGGGGATAAGGAAACCTAAGTCTTAAGACCCCTCCATACCCACAGAAATTAGAAGTTAAAGCCTGATAACAGGATTTTAAACACACAGCCTGTTGACTCTCAGTAAGTCTCAGGATATTCATCCACTTCCAAGGTACCCAAGATGGCACGCTACAGGCTTACCAAGCCACAGCCTTTCCTCTTCATAGCATTCCTAGGAATTTGGATTCAGACAGTACAAGCCTTTCCTCTTCATAGCATTCCTAGGAATTCGGATTCAGACAGTACCTATAGCAGGTCACAAGAGCAGCAGCACATGTATGAAGAGGGAAGAAGTGCCGCAAACATGTGTTGTACTGAAAATGAGACTGCTGGGGAGAACAGGAGAGGGTAAGAACCGAGCAAGACGCTGTCTTGTCAATGAAAACAAGACTCAAGGACAGTCTGATAGAAATCCATTTTTGTCCAAAGTACAGGCAGCTCTACTTATTTTCTGATCCCATTACTCAAAAGGGGAGCAAACATCCTTTCTCTCCCCCCACCCCAAAATGCCACAGAAGAAAACCCACCCCGCCTAGGAACAGCCGCTTCAATGGACAGATCAGTCACCACCTACGACCCATAGACTAACCCACCCACTTGAGGCATGGTGCAGAAGATGCAGGACAGACCATCTCAAAGCCCCACCATTCACCTGAAAATTTTTGATACATCTCAAATATTTAAGAGTCCACAAAAAAATCCGAGCAAGCCCAGCCCAAACACTGAAAGCACTGTACAAGTCATTTCTTTCAAAGGTATTCCAGATTTCTTACTCTTACATCATCTTGCATCCCAGTGACTTTGAGGAATGCAGTTACTGTGATTGATGAGGAAAGTCTTCCCTTTTTATTTAGTTACTAATAACTAAGCACTGTATTCCACAGCCCGATTTTAGTGTTATGGCTCTCATGAGAACTGAATTTAGTAAATTTGATTACTAGTCTTAAGCGTTAAGATTGAACTCAGAGTTGAAATGTCAAGCCAGGGATGTCATATCAACCCACAATGCAAGAACTATGACTGAATTTTTTTTTCTCTGTTTCCTCATCCCCTTAAAGCAAAAGCAATACGCAGAAAAGGCTGTGGCATTGGCTAGAAACAGAACAAAAGCTGACATCGATGTACCAGATCAGTATAGTTCAGGCACATACGACATTAAACACACTCGGTGAAAGCTCTGCCATCACCTCCAGAGAAGTGTGAGGTGTCACTGCCTTTACATCCCACCTGACTCTCAGCCAGGAAGTTCCATCATATATTGCTTGGTTGGTGAAGTAAGTATCCATCCACTGAGCAATTAAGACCATCTTCATTCACATTTGGTAACAAGTCACCAGTGACAATTTAGTCCTGCCCTTCTGTACAGGAGAAGACTACCTACTCCCTTACAAAGCTCCTTTGGAACTAGATTAAATCAAATACTTTTACGGGGGTAGGGGGGAATATTTTAGCACTTGCCAACAATTCCTTTCATCCCACAAATACTAATGGAAAAAAAAAATCACATTCAACAGGCAGCATACAACTCACTGCAGAAAAATGTAGGCCACTGCGCTCCCACGAACACGTGCAGAGCAC